TTTTTTTTTAACATCCATTCCTGATTACTAAGAGACCGAGCAACTCCATTTATGCTTATGAATGATACACATTTTCTCTTCTATGAATTGCCAGTTCATCTCTTTTGACTTTTCCTCCCTCCCTGCCTTTCTTTCCCTCTTTCTCTCTCTCTCTCTGTAGGCGAGTCATTTTTAAATTCCAGGTATTCATCCTTTACCAGTTAAATTCATTACAAATATCTTCTCCCAGTACATGGCTTTTAAATTTTCTTTCAAGGTTTTTGTTATACTTAAGTTCCATATTTTAATATGGTAAAATATATCAGTCATTTTCTTTATGGTTTGTGCTTTGGTTGTTTTAATTAGAAACTTTTTCTAAAGAAGATGCTCTCCCATTGTTTCTTCTAAAAAGTATTAAAGTTTTATTTTTCCCATTGAAACCTTTAAACTACTTGGAGTATATTCCTGTATGGCCTGAGATGAAGATATGACATTTTCCTTTCCATGAATCGCTTAACCAGTGAGAACCAGGCCCTGAGTGTAGGACAAACTGAGATCGCCTGATTTCGTCCAGGTGCAGACAAGGAGAGCAGGAGGACACAAAGGACCTGACACACTGCCTACAACTGATAGGTGGAAAGGGCACCCACAGGTAGGAAGAGGTTCCACCCATGATCACACACAAAGGCCAGCTCTGCTGACATCTGGTCAACCGCTGCCTTGTACATGAAAAAGGTCCAGCATCTAGGAGGAACTGCCCTGACTAGTGGGCAATACCTCTAAAATTCCAAATAATATTTGCTTCAAATGTTTTAGTCTTGGGCCAGCCCGTGGCTCACTTGGGAGAGTCTGGTGCTGATAACACCAAGGCCACAGGTTCGGATCCCTATACAGGTATGGCCAGTTAGGTCACCTGGGAGAGCGTGGTGCTGACAACACCAAGACAAGGGTTAAGATCCTCTTATCAGTCATCTTAAAAAAAAATGTTTTAGTCTCCTAGCATCCCCTAGGAAAGGGGAAAACCCCACTGGTTCCAAAATAGCCTGGTTTACTGCAGAACCAAGGCACTGATGCCTTTGCCTGAAATGGCCACAAGGTCGCAGCCCTGGGGAGACCAGCCCCATGCTCTCCCGCAGGAGTCCTGCCTTCCAGGTTTCACTGAGAAACAAATTTTAAAGGCAGCCTTGAAATGATACAAAGACCCAGCTCTGAACCGTGGCCCAGCAGAGCCCACCTTCATTGCCACAGAATCTGGAGACTATACCATGGGTTGGGGCCTTTCTTCACTGGGAAAAGTTCCCCCAGAGGCCCTCACCTTGAGGCCTGCATGATGATTCAGGGACAATCCAGGGCCCAGGGAACCAGGTGCTGGGATGAGCCATACGTGCTGGTGAGACAGGAATAGTCTGGCGACATCCCCGAGCTGACTCAGGGATCCTTTCT